GTGTATGTGTGTGTATGTGTGTGTATGTGTGTATGTGTGTGTATGTGTGTGTGTATGTGTGTGTGTGTGTCTATGTGTATGTGTGTGTGTGTGTCTATGTGTGTGTGTGTGTGTCACCCTTGCTGGGGTGGGCTTTAGGTGATGTGCCGGAAGCACTCACACTTCTCTAGGAAACCTGCACTCATGCCTCCAGGAGCAGCTGCAGGAAACTCATTCACTTTCCAACCTAGAGTAGCCAGGGGTGCTTTCCACGGCCTGCCATTCAAGTCATATGTTGGATGTCGTGTGACACTGTTCCTGGAGAGATGGGAACAAACATCTACTTACTCCAGATAGGGACTGATTGCAGACTCAAGTGTGGACACCACCAGAGTCCATCTGGATGAACCAAAGAGTTAATTGTGGTTACTTACAAGAATACAGGAGAGGGGTTACGTGTAGATGCAGAAATGACTCAAAGACAGCTCATCACCAAAGCCTATCCAGCCCTGGTGACAGTACTGCACAACTCGCAGGCAGCTCAGCAGGCTGCAGTGTCTCCTCCAGGCAGCTCACTGGCCCCCAACCCTGCTAGGTGGCTCAACCAGACTGAACCTCTGCTAGGCACTCAGTTTGTCTGAGGGTCTCGTAGAATTCCAAGTTTAAGTGTGCCTGGGGAGGGAGGAATCTAGTGAATCTGGTCAGTTTTAGGGACTTCTGAAGCTTCTGAGTGGTTTACATCTTGAGCGTGATGGGCTTCTCGGCAGGGTAGAATGTTTTACTCTGCTTTAAAACATCCTGTGTCTTTTGTGAGCTTCCCTCCAAGATGGATGGTTTTCTCTCGGAGGAAATTGATACACAATGCCGGAGTGACTAGAAGTTAGTTCATGGCTCCCCAGGACAAGTCATTCAGATGGGGTTCACACAGGGTTTGACAAAACTGAAGATGGTGTGGGGAGGAGCAGTTCAATGGCGCCTGCAATGGGCGATAAGAATGCAGCCGACACTCATCTGTAGGAAGGCCGGGCACTGGCGGGGTAATTATAATATGCCAACCTTCTCCCTGCATCTGGGATGTCCTGCCTCTTTGCCATAGCAGCACTGGCGGGGCCCCTGTTTATGAGTGACATATAACAGAGCTGTCTGATAACGAAGCATTCCAGAAGGGAACCAATGGCTGGTGGACTGTAGAATAATTAATTGCAATCATTTAAAGTAGCACATGTGTGGTACAACAGCAAGCAGCTACGTGGTGTCTGTGTGGCCTCTTCCCTGGGCAGGGAGGCCTGCAAGTGAGACTAAGAGTTTTTTTCCAGAAGGAACTTGCCTTTGTGAGAGAAGAATTAAAAGGGGCAAAGATATGCAGATGTGGTCCTCTGTATTAGTCTCTGGCTTGGAAGGTAAAGTAGAAGAGGGAGAAGATGAAAGGCAGGCAGGTGTTAGCTTTACTTTTTCTTTTTTTTTACAACTGGCAGGTGTAAGGGAAAGAAAATGAAAATTAGGTGTGAGCAAAACCGCCATTTCTGAGACCCACAAGAAGAGTTAGGTAACAAGGAGGGAGGGAGGGAGGTTTCTCAAACTGTCCAAGGTCTCTTGAAAAGTTCAATCTCTTTACTGTGGACTTCTGTAAAATCAAACATAGGTTATATACTTCTATCCAAGAGGGAAGAACCAGGGTATAGTCACAGATCAAAACAAAACTAAGGTCTAGCAGTATAAAGCTCAGTGTCAGACATCTGGGACCCATGATCTGGCCTCCAAAGGGATTGGCAGTGGTACCTCTCTGGCTCTATATATACAGCACACACACACAGCTTGTCTCCTAGGTGCAGGTAAGCTCCACTACATGGCTGCTGCTGTCCTCAATGGTCATCCCATGGTGCTGGCATCTCCAAATGCTGTGGTCTGCACTGAAACTGGGCTGCACCTTCACCAGCAGCCTCTCCTGGTCTCTCTTCAGGGACTCTGATCCTGTCATCTTCAGTCCTGGGGCTTCTGCTGCGGCTGAGGTTGCACCTCACCCGTGGCCTCTCTGGGCCTCTCTTCATGGATTCCAGTCCTGCTGCACAGTACCAATCCTCATCTGCTCTCCGTGACCCCTTCATGCCTTTTCAGTACCACCTCAGTGACTCTTACACATGACCAAGTTCGGCTGTCAGCAGAAGTTACCAGCATGGCCCCTCTGGAACACAGTTTCTGTGTGCCAACACTAAAGAAATACTTCCCAGAAGATTTCACCTCAATGATGCTGGTCTCTTCTTAACCACTGATGATTTCTCAGCTTCTGCTGACCAGCATCAATTGTCTCAGTAGAGCTGAGACTGAAAAAGGTTTCACTTGAATGGTACTGGTCTCTTGTTAATTACAGCTGATTCCCCAACTGACCAGAACCACATATTCTTAATTCAAAGTATCACACATCTCCAATGGAGTCTTTGCTTCCTTTGAAACTTTAGAAGACAAGCCCCATTGTTTGCACTACTCCCAGCATTATCGTCTAAGTTCCTACAATAGATCATTAAACTCTGAACACTTAATGACTTTTCTAGCTCAAAGTTCCAAAGTCCTTTCACAATCCTCCTCAAAACATGGTCAGGTCTGTCAAGAAATACCCTACTCCTGGTACCATTTTCAGTCTTAGGTTTCCTACTGCTGCGATGAAACACCATGACCAAGCTTGAGGAGGAAAGGGTCTATTTCAGACACCAGTCCATCATCCAGGAAAATCAGAGCAGGTGCTCAAGGCAAGAACCTGGAGGTGGAACTGATCCTGAGGATTTGGAGAAGCGCTTCTTACTGGCTTGATCAGCTCACTTTGGTGTTGCACCCAGAACCACCCCTTACTCTTATGTTGCATGACGCACAATGGGCTGGGCACTCGCACAACATCCCTAGTTAAGAAAATGCACTGCCGACGATGACAGACAAATCTTACAGGATCATTTCCTCAGTGGAGTCTCCAGTATCAAATAACATGTTGACGATAAACTAGTCAGGACAGTGTGGGTATATGCTTCTGATCAGAGCTAAAGTTACAGGTGCTTGTGAGCTACCTGATGTGGGTGCTGGAAACTGTACTCAGGTCCTCTGCAAGAGAATTGCATGTTCTTAACCTCTGAGCTACCTTTCCAGCCCCTCTCCCATGGTTTCTGCTTCAACTTATTGCTTGAGTTTCTGTCCTGACTTCCCTCAGTGATATGAGCATTTTTTATAGACTTGGGCATGTAAGAGGCAGTATTCAATGCCCAGTTCACTGGTCTTGAGAGAAATATATTCACAAGGGAATTCAGAGAGATTTTGCTTCAGCCGAAACCTCAGAATTGTATGGTGGAAAGTCTCTGAAAATCAGCCACAGAGGACACAGTATTACGGCTAAGAGTGATGTTCCTGATGGTTCCTCCATGGGTCCACATCTCTACATACTAGGGAGAGGTTTCCTTCTGAGGCGCTGACCTGTGAAAGCTGAGGGACGCATAGTGTACTTCTTGCTCTATCCCCAAGGTGGGGTCCTCAGCATGGCTGTGAACCTTGGAGTCCTGCTGTTGACACTGTGTGGAGAGAAAGAAGAAAGTCAGGGTGGGCCTGGGGGCAGAAAAGGTTATGGAAATGAACTCATTCCAACAAGACATTCATTCACTCCGATGAAGTGTTTCTGAAGTGTCAGTTGATTACACAACACTGATTTATTTGTTCTTTCCACTCATTTGTATGTGTTGCTTCCATTATCCCACCACCCACGCTGCTTTCCAGATTCTACGGCCATCTCTGAAGGACCTAGGTGGAAAATACTATTATTTTACCCATTTTACCAACAGGCTGGGTCTTTTACAAGGTCACCAATCTACTGAACATGAACTGCACCCCAGATCTCCCTGAGATGTTTCATGTGCTGAAGATGGATCACAGAGAAACAAGAGATGGGTCACGTGACTCAGGTGTTAGAAGGATGAAGCTTCATGATGGCTGGTATTGTGGTCACATATGTGAACTGGAGGGAGGCCAAAGGACAGCAGTTTCCCCAGAGCCTAGCTTCTCTTTTTGGGTCTCCAAGTGGTGGGAACACTATGGGAGTCCTGCTGCCACAGGCCTGAGATGTCTGTCACAGACAAACGTGTGGCATGCTCTGGAGACTGATGTGGACTGGACACTGATAGAAACAGCTGATAGCTACAAAGCACAGCCACTTCCTGCTACTGGCCCGTTTTCCAGCTCTGATTAAATACAAGTTTTCTCAAAAGCATGCTTAGCACCCATAGTGCCCACCCCCTCACCTCCCTTTCTCCCTCTAGTTCCTGCTGGTAAGAGGGATTTCTTTCCATTCAGCTCCCAGAACTTTGAGTATCAAAATCAGCTTGATTTTGTTAAATACCAGTTCCATTCTCACTCCTGGCCTCCTGTAGGACACTCAGTCCCCTCCTTGACACCCTGACATCACCTGTGACCACAGGACACATCTCTGCACTCTCCTCACAGATGGCTCTGCTCAGCGGCTTCTCCTCCCAGTCTCCTTGCCTCTTCTGCTTCATCTCTCTGACTGAGTGATGGCAGGTTTAGTGCATTTTGTGTGGGCTTTCCTAGTATTTGTGGTTTCAACCACATTAGACCTTGATGTGGAGAGTCCGCTGACCCCAGGCTCTGGTATCTACTGTCCATTTTCACCTGGACATCTCAGAGACTCCTCATCCTTTTAGGAACCAGAGTGATGGTTCTTTTCATGATTTCCTCCATGTGCAGGGCTGGCTGTGTGCATTGACAGCTCAGTTCTTTAAACTATTCATGGCAACCACAGAATTGTGATGTGTGACCTCTATGAGTCATCTATGACACATACGAGATGGAGACGGCAAGCTGTTTTGCAAATACACAGGCATTCATTTACCTCTTGAGTCTTCCTTAGAGGTGTATGCAGAATCTCACTCTCATCCAGATCCATCATTTGGACCTGGACTGGGTCAACACCTCTGTTTTTGTGTTGTATTTTGTTCTTAGAAACAGAAT